GTGCGTAAAACGCACGCTGCGGCGACGAGCACACGGCCGTAAAAAATTATACGGTCGATTATTGACGGTGACGATCGATATTATTAATATTATGATAATGAGCACACACGGTTCGCGCGATTACGCGATAACGATTTCGGATACGGCAGAGAACCCACGAGTACGCCCATTATTCGTGCCGGGGTATACGAATATTAGCGCTGAATAATTCCATCGGTCTGCGCTAAACACATAAAATAATAACGATTTTATATTGTATATATTTTATGTGTATATTTTAATAAAATATTATCGTGCCCGTTATGTTTACTAATAATGTATTCCCGCACGAGTGATCAAGGTGTCGGGTGGTGATTGCACGTTTCTGAAATATAATATCTATTAGCCGCGGTATTTAAGGATATTATTCAATATACAACTCAGCCGGTGAGTGGGAGGTGATCATTTCCCAATGTACGAGCATACTTACTTATCCACTATCTATTAGAGTATTATAAAACAAAATATACATTACCGAACTAAAAAAAACACCCTAGTAGGTGTATAACACATTGGATTCGACAAAACACCCAAACGAAATTTATAGTTAACACTACATTTTGAAATATGTACGTGTTTTTAATGTGATGTAAAGAGAACTCTAAAGTTTGTTGGGAAGATTCTACACCCTACAGGGACGGTAAACCTATTTTCGAGATCTTTTAACCGTCCATTTAGTTGTACGCGAAAATCGTCAGAACTACTCTAGTCTTATAGTACAACCGACTAACCAAGTCAGCAATAATCGAACTACAATATAATAAGTTATTAGTATAAGTATTATAATAAGTTATAGCAAGCAAGTTGTGAGAAAACTATAAAAGCCAGCGGCAACTGTTTTTGACCCTAAGACTCAAAAATTCCTTAAATATTAACCTATTCGTCGAAAATATATATTCGTTCTCGAGAGCCCGGGATCTTTTTCGTGAGGGGGTGAGTGGGGGTTTTGTAAAATTTGTACGCATCAGTGGTTAAATTAAGCACAAACGGCGACATGATACCTTTTTTTTCGACACGTGTTCACCGTCGAACATTGGCCTGAGGGGAACACGGTGAGGGTCCCCCCACCACGTAATGACCTCGTAACGACGCGTCACCGCATACCTTATGCATGTGTGCGTGCGAAAACAGCTGAACAAATTATAGTCTTTTTTTAAAATTTTTTTTTTCTACTCATTAATTAGACGGATTCGTCCGATAAAAAAGAATAATATAAGAATATCGCATTGTGACAACGACATTGTGTATGTGTGTGTGTGAGTGTGTCCTCTTCACTCCTACCACCACAACCAGCCTTCCCGACCGCGCGCGCCGAGCGTCACGCGGTGCAGTTTTTTCGGGCGATTTGACTTTGGCTCTGCCGGGTGCCCGAGTATGTATATTAGTATTCGTCAACACCGCATCGAACGATGCCGCCACGAGAGTTTTCGTCTAATACGTCCCTACAACGCGCATCGATGGTGATCTATACACTACCGATATATTATATAGGCGTTCAGGAGAAAAACCTCCTCAAAAACACCTAGTCACGTGTTTCGTGATGATGATACACGGTCGTATTTAACACAAAATAATATCATACAGAATAATGGAGAGTCCGAAAAAATACTGAATTAATATTAATATCGTCCGGACGGTTTTTAACAATTGCTGCAATGAAATGATATAATGCACCAAACCAAAACGTATAGGTGGTATATTATCCGTTTTACGAGACCGGCTCATTATTTTAAACGATGGCCATTAAGTACTATTTTAATTGCAATATGTACATACGTTTGTCAGTGAGAAAAAAACTTTTACGATAGATTTCTTGTTTGCCTTTTAACAAACCAATTAGTAATAACAATTATAATTATCATGATTATTATTTTTACGAAGTAATGCAGTCAATGTATTCCAATGAATATTAAAAAAAAACCTGTTTACGTTTAGTTGACAATTTAATATTGTAATAAAATATTACATATTTTTAATAAGGCTTTTTTATAATTTAATTAGATATGTTTGTAAACGTGACCATTAAATAACATAATTACGTGAGACCAAACGGATTTCTGAAAATGGAAATGTTTTTGGGAAATTGATCATACATTTTTAAAATTAAAATCAGAACATCTATAAGTACGAGTTGTTTTTTTTTTTAAATATAAAAACATGTATTATTTAAAATAATAAAATGGAGCGTATTGTGGTGTTCAGCGCTTAACAATAGCCACATTTGTAAAACTATTATACGGGGAATTGACCTAACTCGTTTCCTAAGTCATAAACTATTTTTTTCAGAAGAATATTTTTAAATTACCAACAGGTAGGTTCATCAAAAAAAACCATATTCTGTTCCACACCAACAACACGCTACCTTCAACTTACAGAACGTCATAAAATTAATAGGACACTATAATAAAATAATTATTCGGGAACATTATGTATGTGTACTCACACACACATACGGTCACACTCACATACATCACACAAACGCAGTCACTGGAACTTAATGAATACGTGAAAGGTATTTATACACATAATATATTATATTATTACAATTATTAATAAAATCTTATTAGTTATTACACACATATTTTCGGCAATAAGCGGAGGGGAGATTTAAAATTTAATTCGCCGCCTCTAGTGTGTAACCTAACCAGCAGTTTACCCAGGACCGGCCTCTTTGGGCGTTATATACGACGATTGCGTATAATTTAGACGGGATTTACCTTCCATCGTCGTCGTTATTGACAGACACCACTTTTGTTTTTACAATACTCGTCGAAACTGGAAATTAGATAAATAACACGAGGTAAATAATATGTTACACAGATTGGTATCGCACAATAATTTTGAAATATTTCAATGCGTATGTGATATTTTAAATTTTGGGTTCAGTTTCACTTGAAACATTATTTGGAAAGTTGAAGCATGAGAACATTTTGTCTGCCGCAAAATCATTAGAATTTACCTCAGGCCTACAAAAAAAGGAAGCATTGTTGTTCTACATAGGTCTCCTTTAAGATTCAAAAACCGTTATCTACCCCACAATTGAACCGTCAACGTGATTTACAATCGAAAATAACCTGCTTGTGTTCTTTTTTTCACAAACGCATAGTTTAAACGCGGACTCCCAAAAACATTCTCTGAAAAATCACGTCCTATAAACAATTTGGACCTTTTGGGGAGTGTACACGCCCCAGCACCTGTCTGGCGATTCCTGTTCGATTGAGTGGCTGCTACAATGAAGTCTGGAAATCATCTGGAAATCGTATTTTTATCGAATTCACCGAAGTACAAAACGTGTTCGGCATATAATATGTACAATATGCGTAATATAATAAATATTACAATGTTACAGTGTAACCGACGATTAAAAGGTCGTCTTTTATAATATACAAAGAGTGAAACACACATTAGCTAATCATGTTGCATTTTTTTTGGCTTTCAGCCAAAAACAAAGCGTGGGGCGATTATTTTCGAATTCGCTACTGGTGAAAAATATAACGACCAAACGTTCATAATGGTAAATACATACGGTTGGTCGGACATGAAAAGCTCGTGTTTGATTAATAACATTAGGTAGATTATCTTTATTAACTTAGCGTTAGTAAAATACCAAAATAAATTTATCGAAACATAATATTATATCGAAAACATTTAAAAGGTTTGAATAAAATACTTACACTCCGGTAGTCAATGACATTTACAAAAAATTCAATTTTAATGAGAAAATATCACTGATACGTTTTGAATCTAAATCGTTAAAATATTTAATCTTATAAAAGTTAAAAAAGTATATTTTCTTCTAAAACTGATATTATTAATGATTACAATTGATGTTGCGTTTCAAGATAACCGTTCGATATTAGACTAAAATTTAAAAGTTCTACAATATTTTGAAATAGAAACCAGAATTCGGTAAGAAATAGCATATTTCAACATCAAATAAATACATACTATTTGTAAATAAATATTAACTATAGTATATAGCTTATTAAATATTTGTGTATATTTATAAGACACTATATTTTGGCTTTAATTGATGATTATTTAATCTGGAAATGATCTGAACTTAATACATTAGGTAGGTATTGTGACACAAAATGATGGAAGAAAAAAATCAAAAAATCTTAACGAATTAAATAAATACCTAAGTAAAATTATAAATACGTATACAAATAGTGTAAAACATTTCGTTACGAAGTTATGAGACCTTATGAAAAATGAACAGTGATTATATGATTATAAAAGGAAACTATAGTTAAGTGGGGAAAATTGCATGTAGTAATGAACCAATAAGTTTTAGATAAAACATATTATGTTATGTACGGGATTTTAACATATTCACTTATTCCACTTAATATTAAAATGATTTGAGCTGTTACTAAATAATACTACTTAAAAATTATTAGAAAATCTGAAACACAATTTTAAATACAGGCACCTAAGTTTATTTTGTCATTTACGTGTCGATAACCGGTACGATTGTCGGATTGTCACCAGTTGCCTTTTTAAAGCACGATTGGGAATAGTGCGGGACCACCCGACCACTTGTTGCGTGTAAAAAACAGCTGGCACAACGCCTCGAAAGCAATATATAATATGCCTTCTCCATTCAAACGATTCATTATATAACCCTGCAGATCATAGTTAGAAAATAAAAAAAAAGCTCTTACACATTAAAACAAATTGGCTAAAAATATGATATCGTTATTTTTACCAAATCAGTTAATAAATGATATCAATTTTTTTTTTTATAACCGGCTAAAACTTAATTAAGTATCGGAACCGATACATTTCTAATACTACGTCAAAAGTTTAGACAAGGTAGAAAAATTGAAAACGGGGACGCACGTCGTGCGCTATACAAAATTATACAATATTTACATCTAATATATTATTTGGCTATTACTACAAATACAACTTAAAAAAAATAATATAGTCAAGCACTTAAACTACTAAATACTGACCTCCCACATCCAATCAACCACGATCTTCCTCAGATTGGCCGTGAGGTCGCTCTGGACGGTCGCCAAATAGTCGGTAGCCGGCAAGCATCTGATCTCCGACTTGAGCATTGTTTCGAACACACGGTCGTCCAGCAGCAGAGTTGGGTCCTTCTGGGCGACGCTCTTCGAAGTCGATTCGCAACACAACAAGTCCATGGTTGATACGATTTTGCAGCGGATGACGATTTATGGAATCTGCGTATAATATATATTATCAGATATATTATAGTGGTAGGTATCGGTGTACGTGAGCGTGTGTGTATGCGCGAGCGAGGTGGACACCGTACGACGAGAAGGAACAGATAACCACGAGGTATAAATATATTTCAATGTAGAGTACTGTTTTGTTATTTTATTTTTTTTTTAAATCGTAAGTCGAAAAAAAAAAAATTATCGGTTGACGATAAAAGATCGACGACGGCGACTGAGACGTAAGGCAATACGCGCGGGTACGACAGCGGCGTGTGTGTGTGCGAGTGGAGGAGCGTATGCGTAATGAAAGCGCGCTGAAACGTCCGAACCCGGCAACGGACCAGGTCAGAATGCGTGTGCCGGTGTGCGCTGCGCTCGTCGTCGGAATCGAATCAGTATCAGTGGGACAGTGTCGTGTGTGTGCGTGTGTGCGTGCGCTTGTGTGTGCGCGTATGTGTGCGCGTGTGTGCGAGTATGTGCGCGAGTGTGCGCGAGTGTGTGCGTACGCGCGTGCGTGCGTGTGTGTGTGTGTGTGCGCGCGCGCGTGTGTCTGCGTATAGCGCCGGCGAACAGTGCACAGTCAAAGGAGAGGCGCGCAACGCACACACGCGCACATGTACACTCGCACACTCGAACACGGACGCGCGAGCTCGGGCGCGCGCGCAGGCGGGCAGACCCTCGACCGTATGCGGTGGTAGGTCCCACCAGCGATACATAAAAATTCTTTCACATGCCGAAAAAAAAGAAAAAATAATAATAATAATAATAATAAATAAAATACGAACGAAAAAACCCAGGACTGCGGCGGCCGAAGCACCGGTTTCGTGTCGCCGTGTGAGCGAGCGCGGGAGAGAGAGAGAGAAAGAGTGTGATTGAGAGAGAGAGAGAGTGAGAGAGAGAGAACGAGCGAGGAGAGCACGTGAGAATGAAAACGAGAGTGTGTGGGGGGGCACCGTGTACGCATTACAAAAATTATTATTATACAATTACCGCCGCCGTGTATATTGTATATTATACACATTACATCTATTATAGGTAGGACGACGTGTATACAGGCATACAGCGTACCTATACACCGTGCACCAAAGCACATCAAACTGTATACCACGACCGCTGTATACCACGTCACTACGTCTACACTTGACGCATATATTATTGCCATAATAATAATATTACGCACACGTCATTCGATATTTCCATACGGTTCGGCAACACTCGTCAAGGCAAATCAAAAAAAGGAAGAATTGAAAACTCGATCCCTTTCAAAACGTCGCTTGCAAACGACATGGGTATATAAATATATATTTTTTTTTTACCACAAACCAAAACTGTGGTCAGTGTCTTGAAAAGCCTTTCGGCATGTGGAAATTAAGTTCCAGAGATTCCCAAGTATCCGTTTTTAACTTCCCGACTTCACTGTCAACTCACAGTCATACACAGGCAACAGGGTATTTGTGCTGACGTTTAGATTTTTTTATTATAATTGTACAAATATTATACAATTCGAGGGATTTGATTTTTTTTTCTAAAATATTTCTGTCGACGACGATAGTCAACTTTTGATACTTCTTTCGATTATTGTGTGTTTGACACCACATCATAAATCAACAGCTTTTTTTCGACTGCAGTGCAGATAACTTTTTTTACAATTTTTAATCTTTGAATATGAAAATATAAAATGTGAAACTTACCGTTTTTTATGAGTATTTCAGGTCTTTAAATGTAACGAAACGTCCTCGTGTTAAACAAACACTACCGCCGAACAATTTATTTTTCAAGGCTTTTATTCAAATACATCTGTTTATAATAATAACGCAATGAAAAAAAAACCCATTGAATAACAGAAAACGTCGTAGTCGTCGCCCGTCGATAACAGGACCGGTCAAGGTTAAAACTGTATAATCCCTGTACTAAATGGTAAATATTAAAAGCCTATCAAGTAATTTTTATCTATACTTCAAAAATCACTTTTCTCCTTAGTCATTAAAGATACTTATCAGTTCTTACCAAATGTACATTTTAATATTTCAATTCATGTTTTTTTCACAGCTCCCACAACTACAACTATGTTGACAAAAAGGTGTTGAGTCATACTACACCAAAGTACAAACACAATGGCTTTTAGATAATAAAACTAAGTATAATATCATAAACCGTGGCTATCATAATTATTATATTTTATTATAATATTATAGGAGATTAAAATTATAATATTTTAATTTCAAACATTTTATAAGTAGAGTGTAATTGACAATCATTCGAGTTTTGACCGCATGTATGACAACCTCGTGTCGTCAAAGTTGAATAATATTCCACTTTAAGCAACACGATGTATTAAAAAGATTATCACTGCGTTCAGCCAATTAAAACACTGGGATCTTAATGCCAGTCGTGTTAAATTATGAAAGACACGATGAAGCGTAATTATTCGTCTTTCGCGTACAACAACTAACCACTTACCACGCGCACACAGTCAACCTAGAAGAAATGAACCACATGATAAAGATGTGCTAGGTAAAGTGACATCCAAGTTTTGGTCCAAAATTCCCTCCTCCCCCATTCGAAATCGACGCATCCGCAACAATGTTCCGCTAGTCTTATTATATTGTTATCAATTTTGGTATTTCACACGGCATGATAATAATAATAATAATAATGTGCGTATCGTGGGCGTCGTCGGCACCTGTACAATATTCTTACTGGATTTTTCCGAGAAAAATTAGACAATAGAATGTGAATATTTAGACTAACATCGTCGCACCGTGGACTACATGGGCATTATTATTATTCTTGTGATTGGGTCAGGTATTATAATATAGGTCGTATAGGTGGTGACTGGTGAGTAAGTATAGCTTGGTGCCCGAAAGTAATTGTTGGCGACTCAACGTTTGTGTATTATATATACAGGACGTCGCGGTTAAAATATATCGAGTCGACCGATGGCAATAAAACGCATGGCCATACACATCGTCGATTTTCTTTTGTAATGTAATTTTATGGGAAATACTTTTACGGTGTGAATAATAATGCAAACGCGCCCGTAATAAATTACACTATATGCGTCGTGGTTTCGATTTTCAAAGGGAATCGTATAACTGCGTAATAATAATATCGTTGTTGTACAGTAGGCCGTACGCGCAGTAAACAGACCAACGAATCCGAATGGCCCCGAGCCCCCCACCCCTTCTCCACCAAATGTGCCTACCTATTTTAGTGCAGATATTGTATGGAAATGAAGGCTAGGAAGTCGTAAGAGTTTGGGTGTTTTTCTATATTAGCTGCATACCAAGCTCGAAATTCATTCAACTTAACTTATTGGTGCACAATAAAAGTTTAAATAGGTAGCACATTTAAAATGCCTGTTTTTGCATGTTTCATTTGTTCTAGAGAAATGCGTATTTTTTACTTTTTTCTTTTATATATGTAATTCCATGCGATATTAATATTTTCTAACAAAAAATGTACGTTTTTCTTTTATTTACTCAATTGTTGCAGAAACGTGGGTATTTTCTTATTCTAAAGATATTTTGTTAACACAACTTTTTTCTACGGTGTACCTACGCCACAACCTGCACGTATTATTATTACTTATGTCCAACAAATTTGTTCACCAAATGTCATTAGTATTTTTAAAACAAAATTATTTTGTAACAAACTAATATACCACTATGTAAGTATGTAACCAATAATTCATACATTTTTTTTAAATATTTTTATGTGCATTTTTCATCGATTATATCATGACTTAATAAACAGGCATGTCAGCAAATTCGCGTATTTTTCCTATCACTGCGTAGGTATGTATGCCCTAGACTTGGAATAAACAGCAATTTACATCCTAATTATTACATCGAGGCATTGATAAAGAATTAATGATTAATTAGTTTATTCTATGTTTGGGGAACACTTTATGCGCAGAGCGATTTTGCTGACACTCTAGTTGATTTAGTCATGGATTAAATTAAATTTTATCACAATATTTCTGAAAGCTAAAAAAATATGATGTTGATGCCCTAAAAAACTATACAAATTCCCTACAAAATTGTTTATTACATTAATGATCTAAGTAAGTGCTAACTCCTAAGGGTCTAAATACTTAAAAGACGTTAATGAATATAAATCTATTATACGTAATGAAACTAATCTGTTTATTGAGTAACAATTTATTCACATACATGATTTTTATGTTACTTTGAATTTCCAAACTGGTTTTAACTGTGAAAAATGTTGTTTTGAAGTATCTTTCATAAAAAGTTAGGTAAAATTAAATTATTCGACCGGTGGAAAATATAATAATGAAAAACAATTAACTCGTCAATGTTCTATCAATCGTTCCTAAAAAAGCCTCAGAACTAAAAATATGACCCCAAAAGTCACATATTTGACCTAGACACAAAAAAAATTCAAAAAATGCAAAATAAGAACTAGTTGTATGGATTCATATTCACATTTTAAGTAAGAAATCATCGTCTATGACGAGGTTCCAAAAAAAGATGCAAAAGTCATCCATCTATTTCCGGGCCCTAATTATGATAATATATTCTAGAAATATAGACCGGAGAGACCAGACTGTTCGCGTACAGTAAGTAAATAATGGGCAAATAGTATACGCACACAAATAATTGACGACATAAAAAAATGTTTATCGTTCATTCGGTTAGCGTAAGCTGTAGATAATAATATATTGTCAATGTGTACAATGTAGGTACCTACACTCCATCTCCACGATTGCGTCGCCATTACAGAATTACCCTAAAATAATATTATTGTACATTAAAATAATTAATATCATGTGTGTGTGTACAATAAGTTTTAAGGACGGCCGTGTAGTATGCCATTCCGCCATATTATACATACTACGCAGGTTGCAGGTACCTGCTACAACGATGGAAATTAAATTAACGACGTGCAGGCAGCAATGCAAAACTAACGTTAGCACTCTCATTAAACACAATAATATTATAATTTATAACATGGGTACCGAAACCAATGTCCAAAACTACTGAATATTATTATGCAATGCGCTTTATATATTATACAAAAGTACATATCATTATAAACGGTCGATTATGAGGCGCGTCTTTGTGCGCGATAACTGGCTGGCCGGCCATAATAAACACAATTTTATTCTTATATGTACGCCATACATAATATAATACGTATTGTATGATGTAGGTTTTCGAACTGTTGATTATTTTAATGAACGTTTCGGCTGCGGCTCGGTGACACTGGATGTGACACCAAATTTGATAATTTACGACGAAAAACTATTTAACGGGCGCGCGCGCGCACACGACGTTCGTCGTTATTAGGACTTTCTATACGCATCTATCGTCGTACGCGTCTTTTACATAATACGTACATAATAATGTATAATATTGTACTCTTCGCGAGCATTATTTTAATTTA